TTTGGCCGCGCGCAACGACTTAGGGCAAGCACCCAGTACCAGCGAAACAAGTGATGCAGACGTGAGGCGTAGGCTTTGTCTCTTCCGAACCAGCAGGCTCGGTCAAGAGACCTGAAGCGCCTGCAGCTTCATTTGCCTCAGGCTCTATTGCCTCCAGCTCGCCCAGCTCGCCATCAGCATCCGGGGGTGGAGACACCTCTGTCTGCGCCGGAGCCTCTCAAAACGTCCCCAGAGGCAGGCGAACACTTCGTGCGGGTTGCCTCGCCTGGGCCTGGTCAGAGGGCTCCGCCGCCCCAGTCGGCTCCAGTTCCATGGTCCCGTGGGCTCCGAGGATGGACCAAGTTTACGAAAAAGACCTGTTCTGCCTTAAGGCTTAACCCAGCCCGTTTTCAAAGCGCAAGCCCCCCATACCCCCCTCCCCACCTCTACCACGGAACCGTGCTCTGATTGCAGGACTTACGCTTTTGCCAGCTTAACAATGTGCAGACTGGCTTGTCGTGCCAGTTCTTGACTTGGCATGCGAAAGTAACATTCATGCTCCCTCACCATTCTGCCGAGTGCACGCAAACGGCGTGACACGCGACAGGACTTCTCAGGCTTGAGAGCTTCAGGCCAGGAAAGCCAGACTTCTGATCCATCATGGCTTGAAGGGCTGTCGCCATTTTCGAACCAATAACTAAAGAGCAGTGACAAAGTGCAACAAAACCACATCCTCCTTTTCTCTCGCCGCAGGCGGCACGACCAGCTGCTTCCTCATATGAGACTAGAAAACGAAGGAGCACACCCGCAGTGCAACAAAACCGAGGCATGCACGGCACGCCGAAGAGGGTGTTCACGACATAGCTTTAGCTTCAGACAGCCTGAGCTATGCAGTGGAGCAATGTGTCAAACAAAGGGAAGCATACTGGGATTTGGAGGGAGCGGGGAGATCAGCGACTTGCTATCTGCCGGAACTGTCGTGGACGTCCCAGGCCTGGTGTCCCGATGCCTGGTGTTAGGAGTCGGAAAAGCTTTCATGTTACTGTGTTCAACAACGGTGATGCCCCCGGTTGCAGAGGAAGTGCTCCATCAGCTTTGCTTCTGCACAGTCAGCACAATCACTCCCTCTGCTCGAACAGAGGGTTTTGAGCCGTTCAGCCGGAAAGGCTACCCGCCAGCCAGCAAGCTCACTTTGGTACCCCTCACGCTTGCACGCGCACTAGACTTGGACCCGCCCGTATCAACCGAGCCACCACAACTTCCTGTTGAAGTACTTTGAACCGCTGTCGTTCTTTGCGGTCCCTCCCGGCCCAAGCTGCTGGAGACCCGCTCAAGGTCAGAGAGAGATAGAGAGAGAGAGTGAGAGTTGGTTGGGAAGCCGAGCTCACTATGCAGTGCCGCTTTGCTCGTGCTCTTGCATTGTGCCCCACCTCGTGTTCAGTTCAGGCCTGCTTATTTGTGCCAGCTTCCAGGATGTTCTTCTACAACAGCTGCCTGGGGTGTGTAAAGCAGACATGTGCGATGCGAGGTGTGATCTGCTGGGTCTTCTGGAATTGAGAGCTATCGTCCTCCACATGGTTGGAGACTCTACGATGCCGTGATGACTTTTCATTCAAGTCACTTCTTTTCCAAATCAGCCACCATGGCCTCAAGCTCCTGAAAGACCCACTGTCCCAAGGTAGGGGCATCTATGCAGGCATCCTAGGTCCCTAGGTGTCCTTTTGACGCTCCGTCCGAGTATCGCTCGGATAGCCATCCTTGTCGGCTTGGACGGCGTGCAACACACGGGGTCTCGCGAAACTTCAAACTGGAGTCCTTCGCTTCACCGCGGTGTCCACTCCAGCGATGGGGCGAGGATGTTCTTTCAGGTCTCCTGGGTAAAAAAACGATTGTCCTTCGGTTGCCCTGCTCCATGCTCTCTGCACCGAGACAGCTTGGCGGACTCCTGGCCGGCGGTGGCGTCTGCTCGACCTCCTTGCAGCGCGGGGATTTCGTGGCTAGCACAGAAGCTCTTACTCTTGTTCTCTCCTGCAACCGCTGCATCATCAGCGTGTGGGCGGAATAAATGCTGAGCAATGGCCCGATGCACTCCATCTTCCTGCGCGATTCGATAGCTTGGACTCGAGTCGTGCTCTGGCCCCCCTCTGGCGTCCTGAGACCGTCTTTGCCGGGGATGGAATCGCGAGAGATGTCGATCTTGGCGCCAGTCCTATCCTGGATGCTCCTCTCCAGAAGACCAGCTGCAAACACTCTGAGGCATGTTTTACTGTACGTCTGGCCTGACAAGTTCACCTGCCTTGCCAATCAAAGCAGGAACCAGCTGTGCCTTGGGGAGTCTGGGACTGCGGCAGTCTACTTCCGTTAAAACTCCGCCCCCTCGGGGCCCCCACTGGCAGAACACAGGACACAGAGTAAGACATCCTGAGTCCACTGGTGAACTGGTGCTTCCAGCATTAAGTTTGAAGCAATCGAGCGCCAAGCTCTGCAGCACCACGTGGTAGCATGGCCAAGTCCTAAAAAGTTCATCACTGGGACACTGGGAAAGCGACGCGAGGGCAGCACGGGGTCTGGTAGTCCTCCCCCAGCAGATGCAAGCCGTCGGGGGCCTGGGTGAAAGCCTGAAACCCCGCAGCCAAAAGGGTCATCGCCATTGTGCCACGACCGATTCATAAACCGCCCTTGCCTTTGACTCCATGCGGACAGCAGCGGGCGGCTGCCGGTAGCCACCCTTGCCTGCAGCTTTCTCGCTGGCTGCTGAGCTGCTTGCTTCAACGGTCACCAGTATCGAATCTAGCACATCACATCAAACTGTCAACATCGCAGAAACCTGGATGGCCGAGTTCACTCGATGCATGCTCCCGTGTTCTTCCAGGCCTTGCCCATCGGAATTCCACTGACCTCCAGATCCTGAAACTGGGACAGGGCACTTGCCACTAGTACTGATATGTGCTGATTCAACGCTGCTTCCATTCACGGGTGAGCAGACGCCTTCATGAGCTCCAGCATCATTGAAGTTGATGACCCGCAGGTATTGCTGGAACTGCATCAAGGCAGGTTTTTCAGTCTCAACCCACTGAAAAAATTCAGAGCGAGTGGAGGGGGAAGCACAGGCCTCATCGGAGCCGGACTCCTGATGCATGTACTCCGTAATGCGACGCCTCGGATGACATGGTCCCCTGCTGCATGAAAACAAAACCTGCTGCACGGCAGGTTCTTTCGCTGCACTGCGTTGCTGTTGTAACCAAATAGCCAAGCCGCTGCTGCGACGACAGGATTGCACCGCACCCGGAAGGCACATGCTGAGGGCTGGGCAGTGCCTCCGACAGGCTCTCCGGGACGCCGCTTAGGGTGATGAAGCGGTGCCTGATCTAAAAAGGAAATGCATCTTAGCATATCTTGGCGAGCTACCCGGTGCCGCTCGGAAGAACTTCCGGTTGCAAGACGTGCCAGATCGGCCCCGCCACGGTGTCATCCCGAAAGACAATCTGCCAAGACAACCGAAGCAAACAGTAAAGCAAGGAACTTAACAGGGCAACAGAATCGTTGTTGACTCACATCTTAGAAATGGAAATGCTGATGTATTGTTGCTCCACGACATGTTTGTGACGCACGCCAACGGAGCTCGCCTGTACACGCCTGAGCCGCTTGAGCCATGTCGATCTACTCTGTGAAATTAGTGCCTCACGCCGCTTGAGGGCACCAGCCCTGACAAACAAATCTGCACGTCAGGAAATTGACGCTTCCTTCAGAAGCGAACATCACTCGATGGAACCAATACCCTTAAACATCTAGAAGCAGGGAGCAAAGCTTCAACTTGGGTAACTCAGGGGCAGCACCACACAACCTCATCCAGCATCAAAGTAGGTTGCAGCGACTTGAGATGGTCTGCTCCTCTACCTTTGTGGCCTTCAGCTGCTCATCCAGTGCTGCCAGCAGCTTCTCACGCGCCGCCTCTGTTAGGCCTTGTGCAAAGTCTGCTGCTTTTTGCAGGGACTGGGAGTCGTGGCCACCGTGCTGAAGGAGCTCCAGTACCAGCTCGCTGTTACGCAGGCTGGCGGCACACGACAGCGCAGTGTCAGAACAGTAGTCTGCACGGGCCACAGCATTGAGTTGCGAGAAATCCGGATGCTCAATGACAGCCCGCACTACTCCCAAGAGGCTCTTGGCTGTGGCTGTGTGCAGAGCAGACATGCCACAATCGTCCAAGGCGTTGATCGCCCCAAAGCCAGCCTGGAATAAAACTGCGCAGGCTTCAGCAGAAGTGGCATAGTGAAGGGCGGAGCGGCCTCTCTTGTCCAGTGCATTGATATCGAAGTCGACACGATCGTTGTCACCAGCACGGCTGCGGAACAGTACGGCCAAAACTTTTGGATTTCGTGAGAGGGTATGCAGCGGGGTTCTTCCCAAACTGTCTGCTACGCTTAGCGAGCAGGCCGCACCATGTTCCAACAAGGTTGCACAAATCCCTGGGTTTTTCGCACAATGCAAGGCAGTTTGGCCAGAAGCATCCTCTTTGTTGATTGCAGTGAAGTTAGGATGACCTAGAATTACTTGACACATCTCCTCGCTTGTCACATAGTGAAGAAGAGTGCATCCGAAGCGATCTTGTGCGTTCAGAGACTCTGCTGTTGACAAGGCCGGTGACTGCAGAAGAATGCGCAGGATCTCGGCATTCGCCGCGTGATGTAATGCGGTGCAGTAATTCGCCTTTCGGCATGCCGCCTCACGGAAGTGCGGACTTTGAAGAAGGCACCGGCAGTGATCTGCAAGGCCAGTGGATGCCGCCGAGTGGAGTACACCTGCAGCGTCGTCAAGCATTCCTGGAATCTGTCCGAAGGCTTCGTGCTGGACCAAAGTCTCGAATGCTGGGAACAGTGGCTGAAGAAGGAGGTTCAGCAAAACAGTTGAGCGCTGCTTGTTTTCGCGGTGCTCCCGCTCCTCAAATCGACCAAAATTGGGATGACAAACGATCTCAAGACACACGTTCGGCTCTTCCTTTCGACCAGCTTCGCTAAGAAGACTGTCAAGATCAGAAGGATCATCACTCTCATGCAGGCCATTGTTGGCGACAAACTTGCTGAGATTCATCCGCGGCTGCCGAAGGACAAGCAGCTCCAGACCTAACTGAGCGATCTGCACAAATGGCCTTGCATTATCCTGTAGGATATCCGTTCCTCGCAGCAGACTTTGCTCCACCGCTGGGTATCCCGGAAGCACTTGCTGGATGGAAGCTTTCGCCTCCCAGACTGTCGCAGTCTCACATAACCGCAGGGTAAACGATTGGCCTGTGATTGTTGCTACGATGACCTCCACACTAGAGTCGTCCTCTGGCATTGAATCGATCCCAGTGTGGGGACTCAGGTGGCCGCATCGACGGAATGCAAACCGGACGGGCTAGGATACAGAGCCGGGAGCGCACGAAGGGAATGCAAAGGCACTAATAATCAGAATCCGAAAGGAGTCCACGCACTCAAGGGTGCCTTTGCCCCGCTCTCCCGTCGCAGCTGCTTGATGTTGGCACCCTGGTTGCCGATGAGGAGCCCCGTCCTCGGTGGCCAAACCCCTGCTTTTGCCGCGGCCCGGCTCCCCAGCTCTGAGAAGGTCACAGGTCGCGGGGGAGAATAAGCCGGAAGATGAATTCGCCTCTTTGCACTCCGCAGGCAGAGGCGTCGAAGAGCATCGAAGAGTCGAAGAGAGGCGGCCTTCCTCGCCGAGCATCTCACAGCCGGCTGGAGGCGGTCGACTTCGTTCATCCTACGATACTCCGCTCCCAGAATTCTGCAAGTGGAACTTAGACGAAGTTAGTTACCCTTCCTCGGCCAACTCTCCAATCTTACCTTCGCCAAATGCATGACTGAAGGGCAAACATAACGGGCGCAAGACTTGGGCTCCAACCGAGTATCAGATCTAGGGCCATCATGACAGCCTCTGCCGTGTCAGAGAACACCTGAGATTGAATTAGAAGTCCGGAACTCGCGGGGATAACTGCCTCCCCATCTTCTCTGAGGCTTTCTCCCCCAGCACCCGCAACAGCGTGTCGGGGAAGAAATCCCCCTTGTTGCTAAAGACCAGCCGAGCTCCGGATTCCTCGCGAACAGGGTGCATCTGCCCTTGCTCCGGAAACCTTAGAACCAAGTCTGCAAGCCCAAATTCACAGAAGAACACGCTGCATCATATGCATCATGCAGACGCTTCGCTATACGCTATGCTCCGCTATGCTCCGCTCCGCTCCGCTGCTCCGCTCCTCCTGGAGCTGCTCCTTCGCGCTGCCTCTGTCCCTCAGCAAGAAGCTCGCGAAGGCATCCGGCAGCAGCGCCTGCAATCCCGAGCACGCGCCGCCAAAAAATCTAGTACGCATTGCTACTCAACTGCAAGAAGTGCTAACTCTCGCCGAAGAGGCAACAAATCCCCCCAGCATCCGCTAGCCTTTGACTACACACGACTAGATGGTCAAGTCAGGAAACTGCACAACAGCTTCTAGTTTGGTAGGGTACCAACAGTAGTAGCAGTTGGCAGTACGGCTAGCAGTAGCAGTAGCGGCAGTAGTAGTGGCCGTCGTCGTGGTCGTCGTAGTAGTAGTAGTAGTAGTAGTAGTCGTAGTGGTAGTGGTAGTGGTAGTGGTAGTGGTAGTGGAAGTGGTAGTAGTAGTAGTAGTAGT